TCACCGTAGCCGTCGACTGTTAATACTGCAGAAGAGTAGATAGTTAAATAATCTCTTTTTTTCGTAAACGCGCTGAGCTCGTTGCCGAAGTTGGATAACAGTGAATATATAGCGCGTATCAAAGTGAAATGGCGTCCACGGCGTGGAGAGAATGGGAGAGAGGAGGCTTAGCATACGAATATCCGATTCTGTGTTTGTGGGTTGCTACCACGGTCTGATTTACATAGTTATTATGATATTATGCGACCGCAAAAGGATTTTTATCATCAGCACTGTCTGCGCCGCAAAGGAAGTACAAACCGTGACATATGCTTCCTTTTCTTCTGCGTCGGCTTTTTGCCGCGTGCACCGTATCCGTGAAGGATTAAGAGATATAAACCTGTCCTGTCTAGTCTTATCTTAATGTTTCGCGCGTTGTTGTTCCTCTCGACCAGCGCACGTCGCGGCAGTAATGTTAAGGTGGTTGGTCCGTAAATTAGTTCTTTTAGAAATTTTTTTGAATTTATATAAGTAACAGCATATTGATCGAAACAATTTATATACACATAAAATTAGGAAAAGATTGACTATACTGAAGCTAATTTAAGTCAAAGTTTACATATATTTACATATATTACAGAACATATTAAAACAGTTTTTGATATCACATTTTCAATTCAAACTGTTTTTACGGTTTTAATGAGAAATAAGAAGACTATAAGAGAGACTTGTAGAAATATTATAAATTACAAGATAGTATATTATTGCAAGATCGTTGACTATCTAGTTTACTAGAAATTGATATGTAAAGTACACAACTTCTAATAACGGTTGAAGTGTATAACAGTTAATCTATAAAGATTTGACAATATTAATATATGCTATATTTCCCTTTGTGTCTCTTGGTTAGGTATCTCTTTTAAGATGGTTAAATAATCTTAAAGACCTACTCGAGCAAAAATTTAACCTAATGACTGTCTGGTTATGACATAGAAAAGTCGTGTTTTACATCATTACTACCTAATAATAGCTAGCTACTTGCTAGTCAGGAATGTAACGCTCATTTCTATCAGTGGTTATATTAGAACAGTTAACTAGTAGCTAGACAAAAAAAGCGTAGTCATGAGGTGGGAAATAGCTAGCTAGATATAAATAGCTAGCTGCTAGCCAATAATACAATAAAATAATAACTTGTAGCTATCTAGCCTGGACTAGACAGCGACTAGATAGCAAAAGCGAAATAAAATAAAATAAAATGAAAAAAATTATATCTCTATCTTTGTATTTACTCTATAAGTATCTTGTTTTAAATCCCGAGGTGAGATTTGATATCTATGATAAATGCGTCACGTTCCGAATTGTTATTTCCTCTCCTTGGTGAAGTTCTATTTTAACGCAGCCATAAAGACCTCGCGAGCCTCTCGGAGCTTTTTTAACTAACCGAAGTGGTGACATAAGCGGATTATCGGACCGTCACTGAAAGTCGCGGGGAACGATCTTATAAGTTTTCCTAGTTTTATTAGTCGCTTTTGTAATCTCGGTCGTCTCTATTTACTCGTCTAAAAACGTAAAGGCGATTAATTATCGATATATTCACCGCAACGACACTTCATCTCTTTCATGTTTTATATACGTGTGTTAAAACTTATATGTATATTAAATATGTAAATTCATCTTCAAATTACTCAAGAAAATTCTTCACATACGTGCGTAAATTTATTTCGACACCTGGGTACTGATCATATAATTTTTCTCTGGCGGAAATATGAAAGGTGAACATTTCCATAGATACAAATGTTTTCAAATTAGAAAATTTACACTTTTCACGAGTTCACGCTAGAGGAGAAAATTTACGACTCCCTGAGGTCGAAAGAAGAAGGGTGAAAAGGATAAATTTTCTAATTTGAAAACATTCGGAAATGTTCACCTTTCATGTATCCGCCCTAAGGAAAAATTACATGATTGCTGCTTTGAATTGTTCAATATATTTTCCATGCGAAGTGAGCAAGTAAATTCTGCATTTGAAGGAAATGAATGTATTTTGTTAATATTGTTACATAACAACAAATCGACTGAAATTCGATAGAGATTTTTACCGTAGCTTTAGTAAACGAAGCGAAGAAATTCGTATTTCAACTGTGCTTTGCCTCGCGAGTACTGCATCTTACAAGCAAAAGAAAGCGTTCTTTCTACCCTGCAAGAAAATCGCGAGCAATCCTATGCGGGTGATTTTCCACGTGATTTTCGGCATACCCGTGTATCGGACAATAAGAATTCGTATTTCTCGCAACTTCGTAGCGACTGCTGTAATCGATCAAGTCGAACGGGCTCGACTTGAAAACCTAATAAACGCCTGCCCAGCTCTTCCTCGCTTCGGCGGAGGCTAAGCGGCACGATACCAAAGCGGATTATTGAAACGCCGACTCGAAGTCGAGGGAAAAGTCCATCGGTCTTAGCCAGATTCGCGGGACTTTAAATTCTCACGGCTCGAATCCCTGCCGAAACTTTTCTTCGTCTTGTCGCCCCGCACCCTACCACGCCGTACCGCATTACCGAGCGGCGCCGAACCGCAAATCTGGAATATGCTGTTAAAACGTTGTACAGTAATTTCAAAACATCGTGTGTAAATATATATTCGATGGTTAAGCAAATTCGCGTGTGTTATTGTTTTTGTTGTCATAATCTTCGGCGCGTCGCTTGCTCAGACAATCCCGATTAAACTTGCGTACGATCATAGCAATCTCAAATGCCCGCATAAAAATTTCATGGGATCTGATGTGGATGACAGTCCGATTTCCCAAAATAATAATAGATTCTAATAGGGAAATCTTCACAGGCTCTGGTTATAAATGTAAAGTTTCAAATATATTTTATATGGGATTCATATGTGGGAAACATAAACAGATGCTACATTTGATCATCTCCAACGTTTTCTCGAAAATTTCTTTTGATTTCTATTTTATACTACAATTGATTTCTAATTTATACTACAATTGAACAAAAATATAAAACACTAAATATTTATACTTTACAAGTACACATACATATGCTACAAACGCACTATTAAGCATAGCAACGTTTAAAAAAAATTTTTTTTAATATCCACATTTTAAAGAATTATTGATGAAAATTATTAGATTAAAAAATTATTGAGGTGAAAATAGTTGGGTGCTGCATACGCAATGTGGTGAAATCAGGATTTGCAGAAAGTGTAATGTTCTAGAGTTGAATATGATAATAAAGTAGCAAATATGGAATAATAACGGAAATTAACTATTTTATATAGTTAACACAATCGTAAGAAATAAAAAATAATATTACCTGCAACAACATTTTTAAGATATGTTTTACTATACACATAGTAA